TTTATCCAATAGGGTTGGGTCTGTTTAACACAAAACCAGAATGGTAGCATTTATATACAGTCCAATCTAGCTTCACTGTAAGGTGATCTTGGTGACAGTCTGTGACCTTTATGGCTAGCTGTTCAGACTTTTCAAAGTACTTATTTCTCCACTGTAAAGCACGGGTTTTTCTTCCTCTTCCTTGTTTCTTTTCTGTGTCTGACCTTTTAAAATAAGAATAAACCTTTCCCTGCCCCTCCAGGACACGTCTATTCTCTGATTTAAAAAAATCAATGTGTTGTTGTGTGGTCTTTTGCAAAATTTGACAGCACATTTTGCAGGTTTTTTTTTTTTTTTTTGAGAAAATATCGGTATATTCTCTTGGCATGTAGCTACACCTTGTGTTTTTTCCCTTGAGTCTCAAAAAGTATTCTGATAATTATTTCAGTTTTTTGCTGTGAGCACTCAAAAAATAACAAAAATAGACATCCATTACTTTGCTTCTTTGAATAGAATATAGTTAGTCAAGTTGTGGCTGAATAACTGTATTTTCCTTTAGTGCAGATTATTCATCCACATGCTATAGTGGAAAGCAGTAAAAAAAATCCTTCATCTAAGATGTTCTACAGCTTCAGAGAGACCTTTAATATATGTTTCTTATTTTTTTCCTGCCCTCTTGTGAGTGATTTTCAGCAGGTAGTTCCCCAAAAGGAGCTGCTTGAATATGCTCTCATCCAGTATACCGATGACATGATCTGTCCACTGGGTCTGTGCTCCCATTAGCAGTGTGTGAACTGATGGTAGACTTTCTTTAGAGAAAACTTCAGCGTCTGGTACTTTATCTGATGCCTAATACACTTCGAACAAAAGTCATATGGAAATGGGTGAACTGTTTTGCAAGAATGAGTCCTTGCTTCCAGAAATACTGGAATAACTTATTGAGTTTCACTATAAATACAGGACCACAACTTTGCGTATCTCTGTGGTATGATATCTACCCCTGGAGCTTTGTCAAAGGATAGCTGGCTGACAGCTACTTTCTATGTCAGCGGTCAGCAACTCAAAGCTCTAGAGCCTCATGTGGCTATTTCATCCTTCTGCTGCGACCCCTGTCGCTGGTCAGCTCAACAATTGATAAGGCTTTCAGTAGGACAGGTAGAGAAAAAGGGATGCTGCGCTAGGAGGAGACTCTATGGTGAGGGACTTCTGGTCAGCTCCAGAATTGAACGGGGGGCTTCTAGTTAGGATCTTTGTGGCTCTTTGAGTATTTAAGATTTCCAACTCCTGCTCTATGTCAACTTGGAGAAAGCTTCCTATTACTTCATCATTACTAGATGACAGTCAGTACTTAACAACCATATTGCTTAGTGGCAGAACTTTTGGTCCCACTTAGGGTCACTAAGCAAGGACCAGCTGTGGTGCATTCCCACAAAATTTAGAGGCATACTTTCAAGAAGACTTCCACAGGGATTAGGTTGTGATGACTTTAGGTCTCTTAAGGAGACTTGTTTTTCAAATACAGTAACACATTTAAATAATATAGGTAATAGCAAAATTTAAATGATAATTGATAATGGCAGTCACACACCCACACACACACACACACACACACACACAGAGTTTGTTTTTCTGTTGCAGTTAATCAAGAAAACTGTTTTTCAAGAAGCTGATCTAACCTGGCAAAAATTGCACTTCCTGTTGAACTTAAACCACTTTCAAATCCTTTTATGTATTTGTTGATTGGCTACATAAAATAGCAAATTATGCATGATCATTAATTGTAAGAAATAGAGTAAGCTCTAGGCTCAATAGTCCTCTGTTTAGCAAGGGTCAGATACAGTGGAGATATTTTTCTTTCAGAGACTTACTTCCATTTAACAGGCTGGGAGCCTGTTAAATTTGGGAGGAGGGGTTGTCTATTAATTATAGCCTTTTTTCCATAAATGGTTTTGTTGCAAATGATGTACTTATGACTATGACATAATTAAACAAAGACATAAATCAAGGCAAAATTTGTAAATTTGGATTTAATGGATATTGCTGCCTTCTGAATGATCTGTTAAATACTCTATAAAATTTTAATATAATAACACCAGCTGTGAATTGGACCTTTCATGGTTATTCCACACTGACAACTTTTTTGAGTTTATTTATAGCCCTACTTTAACTTCCAGTAAATTAATTTTCAATCTATACCGCATTTTTAGTTTACTGCAAAGAATTGTGTTGATTTTGAGTACTTAGGATATTATGACTATTAACTGTTTGAGAAATAATAAATAAATGGTATAAATCCCTGATGGCGAACCTATGGCACGCCTGCCACTGGTGGCATGTGGAGCCATTTGTCAGGGCACGCAAGGCTTGCCCTGTCAGCTGGCCAGCATACATGCGCGCGTAGGCCAGCTGACTTTGGCCTTCTTTTGAGGCCATTTTTCGCCCTCCGGAGGCTTCAGGAACTTCCCTGAAGGCTCCGGAGGGCAAAAAACGACACCACGAGCAAACCGGAAGTGATTTCCGGGTTGCTCATAGGGCTGGTTTTAGTCCTCCAGAGTCTTCAGGAGCCCTCAAGAGGCTTCCCTGATGGTTCCAGGGGGCAAAAAATGACACCATGAGCAAACCGGACTTCCGGGCTGGTTTTAACCCTCCGGAGCCTTCAGGGAAGCCTCCTGAGGGCCCCTGAAGGCTCCATAGGACTAAAACCGGCCCTACAAGCAACCTGGAAGTCACTTCTGGTTTGCTCGTGGTGTCGTTTTTTACCCTCCGGAACCTTCAGGAAAGCCTCCTGAGGGCTCCTGAAGACTCTGGAGGACTAAAACCGGCATATATATCTACATATATACATACATGACTATGGTAAATTG